AGTATCAGGCAGCGGGCAGGAGACGAGGTCAGTATCAGGCAGCGGGCAGGAGACGAGGTCAGTATCAGGCAGCGGGCAGGAGACGAGGTCAGTATCAGGCAGGAGATGAGGGCAGTGTCGGGCAGCGGGAAGAAGACGAGGTCAGTATCAGGCAGGAGCTGCGGTCAGTATCGGGCAGCAGGCTGGAGCTGCGGTCAGTATCGGGCAGCAGGCTGGAGCTGCGGTCAGTATCGGGCAGCAGGCTGGAGCTGCGGTCAGTATCGGGCAGCAGGCTGGAGCTGCGGTCAGTATCGGGCAGCAGGCTGGAGCTGCGGTCAGTATCGGGCAGCAGGCTGGAGCTGCGGTCAGTATCGGGCAGCAGGCTGGAGCTGCGGTCAGTATCGGGCAGCAGGCTGGAGCTGCGGTCAGTATCGGGCAGCAGGCTGGAGCTGCGGTCAGTATCGGGCAGCAGGCTGGAGCTGCGGTCAGTATCGGGCAGCAGGCTGGAGCTGCGGTCAGTATCAGGCAGGGGTTTGTTCAGGCAAGATGTAGGAGGAGTGGTCAGTAATAGGCAGTGGTCATTTAGGCAGCAAGCAGGGGACAGTTCAAGCAAGGGTTGTGCATAGATTCTCATTGTTGCTCCTGTACACGGCCATCTGAGTTTACGAAGGATCTTGCTGGCAGATCCTTCACAATATCTTGTCTGCAATAACGTGTGTGCTAATGTTTACATACAATACAGCGTAGATTAAGTCTCAGGTGTCTTCTGTCTAATTTGTTAGATGACAGGAGGGTGAAGCTGTGTAGTGTTCTTGCTGGCCAGTAGTGTTCATATGTCCATGTGCAGGCCGTGGATAAGGATTTCTTTCTTTCGTTTTTTTTTATGCAGCTGAACAAAGCTGTAAATACAAAGCTGTGTTTATGGCCCGATAGCATAACATAATGGTGCATTCAGCTGTGTAGAAAAAAAAAGTGTGTTACAGATCTGAGGACACCGCATTTTGTGCCTGTATGCATGAGATTATTAAGCAAATACTTAAAACGGCGCTCCACCCAAAAGGGGATTTTTCGCTTTAAGGCTTCGCCCCCCACTCCTCGTTAAGGTTTGACACTTTTGGGGAATGGCGGAAGGGGAGGGTACCCAAATTTGACAAGTAACCGCTTCTGCTGCGATCGCCTAGGCCACAGGGGGCCACATCCAGCCCTCCAGGCCATTTCATGTGGCCCTTGCACCTCTCCTGCAGGTACCCCCTTGTCTCAGGCCCATCTTGTGTCAGCAGTCGGCAGCAGAGAGGAGAATAGAACTCCTCTGCCACATCCTGCACTTCTCCGTGCAGCTGCAGCACCCCGTCATCTCTGCCTCCCCTGGTCTTGGCATTCAGCAGACTCTAACTGGTCCTCCTCCAGACCCTGCACATAACAGGTCCCAGAAGACTATGGGACCATTCACAAAGGGCCGTGCTACTTGGACATGCACAGTGGGCTCCCTGCTGTGAAGCTGCAAGCTGTCACAGCCGGCTGCTCACACTGAAGATGCCAGTGAATCTGGCCAGTGTGAGGACATCGCTGGATTGAAGGACAGGTAAGTGTCTGGGTTTTTTTTTTTTTTTTTTTAAGTGAGCAGCTACAGTTTTTGTAGCTGCTGACTTTTATTTATTTTTTTTTAATTTTGACTGGACCTCCGCTTTAATGTGCAGTAAGACGTAAAGTACAATTCTATTCTTTTGCTGGTCTTAAAACCGCAACTGATGACCTGCATTCCAGGCATTCATCCCTGCAATCATCAGGTTCCAAATGCCATTACTGCAGGCCTACTTAACCTCCCTAGTGGTCTGATTATGTCCATATTTCTGTGCTCAAAGCGGTACTTTTTTTTTCCATGGAAGTATGTATTTTTTTCTATTGTAGGCCTGTAATTTTTAGGAATAACTCATTGAAATCTGTCCGAACAAGAGTCTAGTAAACATCGCGGGTATGATAAAATTTGAAACACGAAATCATAAATTATAATTTAAGAAATAATCATAAAAAATAATAAATTTAATTCAATAATATAATCAAACCAAAAACACTGAAATTTGAAATATAGCACCAAGCTCGCACATCACTGAGTTCAGTCGCAGAATCGTTTTCAGTGTCTGATGACGAATTTCCCCCACGAATCATTATCACTCAATTCTGCAAGTGGTTCTGATTTACTATCCGTGTTCTCTAGCCGGTCTAAAACCGCTTTTGACCTAAAGGGACACTTTTTGGACGCCATGGACGTTTCTCAGTTTCAAGGCAGAGAGAACAGTAAAAATGCAGGCAGGGGACAGGACAAAGCACTCGGGACAAAATGTATGTGAAATGGTTTGATACAGTAATGATATACTATGTGATTTTAGTGATTGTCACTTTTAAAATTTCCTGCCAGTTCCGTCCCCCGTATGTCCCGACGTCACAGGGAACGGAACCCGGAAGACAGATGCCAGCATTGGCCGCAGGACATGGCTGGGGACACTGCAGGGGGGGCATCGCGGGAGCGCAGGACAAGGTAAGTGCAGAAGAGATCCCGGAGCAACGCTGCAGTGTATTCCCGAGTGTTGCTCGGGGTTACCGCTTGTGGTGCTGAAACTTTACCCCGAGCTACACTCGGGAATACTGCCAGGGAGGTTAATGAAAGGACTTTACTTACTGTACAGTTGTCTAAAAGTTCGATTTGTTAGTGATGTTCCATAACAGGGAGGTTAATACTAGGAGGGATGCACTGCAGGTAGACGGCTCCATGTGCAAGAGACCTAACACAGGTTTCCTAGCTGGCGGTGTCTTTTAGCTTTTATTGCTTTATAAAATAATTTTTCTTGTACCTTTGCCTTGGTGTGTGCACTTTATTATTCAAAATCACTTTACTGGGTTTTCTATATGGGGAACATGTCTTGCTTTGAGGAAGCTTTGCGAATGACATGATATATAGATGCCAACAACCTCTGTACACGGTGAGCTCTTTACCTGCAGGTGTTGTCCACTGAAGGAAACACACCTTGCCAAGGTGAAGGTTAGTGTTCTCTTTACAGAGAAGCTGAAGTGTGTTCTCAGATATGAAGGTATGGTTTGCTGGAATTAACTTTTGATGACTCTCACATTTGTACTTGCTGCTGCTTGTTTCAGTAAAAGTTTTCTAAATTGTATACAAACCCAATGACAATGTCTTATTTTCTCAAGGAGTGCTCACCTATTCTTCAGCTGTCCTATGCTGCCTGTGAGGGACCAGAGCCGGCACCTTGACCTCCGCGGTTGTCGGTCTTAAGGTGTCTTCATTGACCGGTGTGAGATATTTACCCTGGCACTGTGCCAGAAATATGAAGGAAACTGTGCATGCTCAGCTTTGTTTACATTGTGCACAGGATTGCAGACAGGCAGGTAAGCTGCCCATACACGGATTATTTTTTATTTCCATCAGCCAGTGAGCTAATTGAAAAAACACAAATACAAATGAGGTGCTTGGAGGACCCCTCCCCACTGTGCTATTGTATACCGACAGCAGGGCTACTCCACTGTCAGAACTCACTGATCAGTGCTGCAGCCGCTGATTGAATGGAAATTTTCCAGTATTCCTGTTTGACAGAAGTCAATCATTAGATCAACTTCTGTTGAACGGGAACATCCTTGGATGGGCTGAAATTTGACAGATCCCTGCAGAACCAACCAGATTTCGATCCATCTGTTGCCAACTTAAATGTATTTTTATTGCAGAAGAGACATAACATGCCTTCTGTAATATAGAGCCTGTGTGTTGTTGACCTACAGGGTCATCATGTCATAATGTGCTATTATGCACCGCATACTACCACGTTATGACAGACTTGCCTAAAAAGTGGATCTCTCCAGCCCTGCGCTGTCACTGCTGACAGGGAATCCCTCTTCATCCAGTCTTTCTTCTGGGTTTGCAGGCTCCGGCCTTTTGAATGGCCGAGTCAAAACGATGCGCATAGGAGTCACGATTTGTATGAATGGTAGAGGCAGATGGAAGGGGCAGATGAGCGGCACAACTTTCGAACTCACAGAGGCTGATGTTAAAGTGTTCCTAAACCCAGGTCCCAGCATTCACTATATCCGGTCTCCACGGACCCCACATTCACTATATCCGGTCTCCCCGGACCCCGCATTCGCTATATTCGGTCTCCACGGACCCCGCATTCACTATATCCGGTCTCCACGGACCCCGCATTCACTATATCCGGTCTCTACGGACCCCGCATTCACTATATCCGGTCTCCCCGGACCCCGCATTCACTATATCCGGTCTCCCCGGACCCCGCATTCACTATATCCGGTCTCCACGGACCCCGCATTCACTATATCCGGTCTCCACGGACCCCGCATTCACTATATCCGGTCTCCACGGACCCCGCATTCACTATATCCGGTCTCCACGGACCCCGCATTCACTATATCCGGTCTCCACGGACCCCGCATTCACTATATCCGGTCTCCACGGACCCCGCATTCACTATATCCGGTCTCCACGGACCCCGCATTCACTATATCCGGTCTCCACGGACCCCGCATTCACTATATCCGGTCTCCACGGACCCCGCATTCACTATATCCGGTCTCCACGGACCCCGCATTCACTATATCCGGTCTCCACGGACCCCGCATTCACTATATCCGGTCTCCACGGACCCCGCATTCACTATATCCGGTCTCCACGGACCCCGCATTCACTATATCCGGTCTCCACGGACCCCGCATTCACTATATCCGGTCTCCACGGACCCCGCATTCACTATATCCGGTCTCCACGGACCCCGCATTCACTATATCCGGTCTCCCACAGTACACACAACATGGAAATTCAATTATTTTAGTAAATATAAACTGCTAAATGCCTTTTCCCATCAGAAGTTAGAGCAGTCTTGTGACTTCTATCAGTGTCCAGCCGAGCACTGGTTAAAGCTTGTAGGAGGAGTTTTCATTCTGCTCCAGGAGGATGCAGGACCTGTCTGGACAATGCTGATTGGTCCTGTGCTGATCACATGCACTCCCAAGAAAAAAAAAAAAAACTTTTCTAGCAATACACACCAAGCTGGGCATGTGCAGAGTGACTCCACACAATATGTCTTGTCGGGATAAGAGGGGGGACACTGGAAGAAGGGGAGGATCAGAGAAGACAGGATCAAACAGCCTTTTTTACACATGGTGGAGGATTAACCCCTTAGGTTCCACAGTGAGTATAACAAGCATGCTTTACTGCATATACAGACTGATGTTGTGGGTTTAGTAACACGTTAAAGAAGAGCTCCAGGCTTCTCTACAAAAAATTAAGTCAGCAGCTACAAATACTGTAGCTGCTGACTTTTAACATAAGGATACTTACTAGTCCAGGGATCCAGCGATGTCCTCGCCTGAGCTGATTCATCAGGGCAGGTGCCGGCATCTTCAGTAAGGGAAACCAGATGTGAAGCCGGAAGTTTCCTGCTGCAGATGTGCAAGGCGTGCTGCAGTTTGTGAATGGTCCTGCAGTCTTCTGGACCTGTGAATTGACCTAGAAGGCTGCCAGGGAAGGAGGGGGCAGAGCTTTTGGCTCAAATCGCCGCGGCTCATCTGACCGGAAGTGGGAATGGCTACCTGTCAAACCAGGTACCTGCTCCCCCCCCAAAAAAAAAGTGCCAAATCTAGCTGGGGGGGAGTGCAAACAAGTGGAACTTCCCATTTTGGATGACGTTACACTTTAATTCTAGCTACATCAGAAGATCAGTGATGTGGGGAGATGATTTCTTTGCAGCAGCTAGCGGAACAAGAAGCAAACTTCATTGCAGCTGAGTTATGTCCATGGTGCTGTGTCATTAAAAAATACAATAAATAATCACTTTTAGATTTAATGGGACCTCAATGCAAACACATTTGCGTCGTGGCGCACCACAAGGCACATTAGCACACTAACACATTCCTTGTTGAGTTAGTAAACAAAGTGGTTGCAGCTCACTAGATAGGTGTTTCTGGAGGCTTTTTCCCTTATCAGTTTTGTATAGGGCTGATGGGTTTAGGGCAGGGGTAGGCAACCTGAGAGCCGCAGGACTACAAGTTCCATCATGCCTCTGCATGTCATAGCTGTAACTGTCAGTTTTGTAATCTCTGCAATGCCTCATGGGAAATGTAGTTCCACAACAGCTAGATAGCCGCAGGTTGCCTACCCCTGGTTTAGGGCCTTCTGTTTATTTTGTCAATTGGCTCTAGTTTTTCTGTAAACGGAAAGTTTTCTACTATAGGCGTAATGACTACATAATGCACAATAATTATATAGATAGATGTCTTTCCACAAATATAAAGCAAGTGATATTGACTACATAACAAAGCCTAAATGGCATAATATATTGCATAGGATTACCAAGAAAAATTATAGCCATAAGCTAAGTTGAATCATTTTAATACTTAGGATTCTCACTAGTTTTGTCTTCAGTTTGTGTCGGTTTTGCTTCTCTTGGCTTTTCTCTTGTATTCGAGGAAAGGGCTATCTCTTACAACTGTCCAGCAATAGTCAGCAAGCATTGATGGGCTCCATTTACCTTGATATCTTCTTTCCATAGCTGCAATGTCTTGATGGAAGCGCTCTCCGTGTTCATCACTCACTGCTCCACAGTTTGGTGGGAAAAAATCCAGATGCGAATGTAGAAAATGAATTTTTCGAGACATGTTGCAACCCAGATTTCTGTAAGTCTGGATGAGTTTTTCTACCACTTTCTTGTAGTCTGGTGTTTTATTGTTTCCAAGAAAATTTGATGTCACTGATACAAATGCTGTCCAGACAGCCTTTTCCTTTCCACGCAACAGAGAAAGAAACTCATCATCATGAATAAGTTTACGAATCTGTGGCCCAACAAAGACTCCATCTATTTTTGCAGCACTAAGTGCTGGAAATTTGCTAATCAGGTACTTGAAACCTGCTTTATTCTTGTCCATTGCCTTAACAAAGTTTTTCATTAATCCCAACTTGATGTGTAATGGAGGTAATAAGATCTTATTGCTGTCTACAAGTGCTGGATAGTTAACATTTTTTACAATTGGAAAAAAAAAAACAACTTTTTTTTTTTTTTTTTTTTTTATCACATAGGGTACAAAGTCCCCTATATGATGATTTTTGGTGACAGGTTCTCTTTGAGACATCTAAGGTCTAAAAGACCCTGGATATCTCCACTCTGCTCCACTGGGGATTGCTCTTTCCCAGGAATTGTATTACAATCTCTCAACAGGGACCCAGAGGTGACATCATAACGTCACTTCGGGTCATCACAAGAAGGTGAAGGGAGTAGACAAGAAGGGGAGGGGAGCTAGCCGACGGCGAGCCGGGCCCGCAGATGGGAAAGTGAAGCCCGGGAGACCTCGCGGTGCGGAGAGGCTGGCACTGTGTGGAAGCAATCGGAACTACATATTCCGGGCGTTGGGTGTTAGGAATCCAACATTCCTGTACTGGTTGGATCACCAGATAAAAATAAAGAAAAGAAAGCCTAAAAAAGAAAAACTAATGCAGCCATCTAAGAATTTGTAAGCCGCAATATAATGTTTGCTTATGGAATTAATACTGATTTCATACTACTTTTCAAGCTAGCTATACCCGGGTAGTGTATAGATGAATAGACTGCTCCATCCAACAAATGTGGTGGCGGGAAGAATCTACTGCTTGGGGACATTGTATTGATAGCGGGACCCGGCACTGTCCAAGTACAATGAGCAATGGCTGCAGCCAAGTGACTGCAATTGCTGATCAACAAGTTTTCTGAATTTTCCATTCGACAGAAGTGGATCTAACGATTGGCTTCTGTCGCACATGGACAGCCACACACTGATCTAAATTTTGCCCAGTCCCTGGTGAAGCGGCCACATTTCACTTCATCTATGGCCAGCATAGTCTTTGAGCAGCTCAAAGTGAACCTGTCCCAAACCTAATAGAGCAGCTGTTGTCTCCATGAGGGCACAGTGCTTAGTGCTCCAAAAATCACACAGCTGTCTTGTTTCTGCTTTAATTCGTCTGTCTTCGAGCTAAAAATGCAACCGAAGAAGGCTGCCATTCACAAGCCGCATGCCGGGGCACCTGTTGAGCATTACTGCGAGTGAAGAGACGGCCTTGGAACTGAAATGCAGCTCATACCACTTTTTTGTAGCTTACTGACAGGCAGTTACCATACTTTCCGGTCTGTTCATGATCATGAAGCTTGTGAGTCACAGTGGCAGCTTCCTTCAGAAAGATATTCGCTTCAGGCTCCATACCCTTAAAATGAACCTGCCAAGAAATGGAAATGGGAGCTGCCTCTGCTGAATTGTTTTTAAAGGGTTCATCTTTAAAGACATTTGCAAAAAAAAAAACATTCCCAATGCATTAGTTTCCTCAGTTCATTAATATGCTGCCGTCCTCTGCTTTGTAAAATATTGCCTGCTTTCAAGCTGATTTTTCCATTGGGCTCTCCTCCCTGTCCTGCCTAGATGGCTGGACATACCAACCATTGGATTCCATGGGCCCAACACTTTACAAATGAGCACCTGGCTTTGTTCCCTACCCACACAGGCAGTCTGCTCTTTCACTCTAGTAGAACCCTGAGTTCAGCTGCTGTGAGATGGTGAATGGGGCATATGTGGGGTAGCTATGGGTAGTGCTTGTTCATGGGGTGCTACGGTCATGCATCCATCAGTTGGTACATTTAGGCAGGACTGAGAGGGGAATGGAAAAAGCAGACTAAAAAGTAAGCCTAGTTTACAAAATGGATCACTACATGTTAATGTGCTGAGGAAGCTGGAAATGTTTTCGCAAATGTTAGTAAAGGTGAACTAGTACTTTAAAGGTGCAGGTCCACTACTAGGGTGAGTTCCTGACCAGGACCAAGCACATGTATATGCATATTCCAAGATTAGTTCTGATTGGTTGTCGTGGGTTAGTGTGCTGTAAATTGCTTTTAATAGATTGCACCCTTCCTGATTGTAACGGAACCAACCCCAGACTGCTCATTGGGTACTTCCGTTAGACTACCGCTTCCATGTCCGAGCACCGACAACAGACACCACAGCAGACCATGCAGTACTAGTATATTTGAACACAGATACAAGAAATATACACTCAAGGGGACAATCCCCCCTCTCTGCATAATGACACAGGGTGGGGCAATCTACATTTAGTAACAAGAGACACGCCAACAGACAGTCCCATCAGGAGGGAGAGCTGCTGGAGACACCCCCCCCCCCCCCCCCCCCGCACCACCAAGCCACCATGCACATAAACACATCCATCCCATAATAGTTTGCTCCCAAGCCAGACACACAATAGAACAATGGGATGCAACCACATATCAGACAGTCAACAACCCCCCCACCCCAATATTAGGACAGATCACCCTGTACCCCTAATAGGCACAGGGTGACTTACACATAAGAGGGATATGGGGAGCTGAGACAGGGGTCTCCCCACCTCTCCAAAGTGAGCTGTGTTCCATGGGCCCCCCACCCAAAGTGACTCCCGTCACACTGATCACACCACGCCACTTTGAACTCAGGAATGTAGGACAACCTCTAGAATACTTACATTGACTATTCACACAGCTACTTTGACATCCCTTGGCTGCCTGTCGTGACAACTACATGTGACTATTCGATGTCTGACGAAGGGGTCCTCCATGACTCTAAAGCAGGCCATACATGGGTCGAATTGTGAACGAATTTTCTTAAGAAAATCAGAAATTTCATGCGTTTTGTAACCCGATGGTACCATCATTTGATTTAGACAAATCGACCAACCAAGCCTTTAATTAACCATGTTGCTACGGAAAATTATTTTCGTGGCCACTCTTTACGTCTGGAGGAAAAGAAATGTAATCTCCAAACACGGAAGGGTTTCTTCACAGTAAGAGCTGTGAAAATGTGGAACAGACTCCCTCAAGAGTTGGTTCTGGCCAGCTCAGTGGATTGCTTTAAAAAAGTCCTGGATTCTTTCTTGGATACACAGAATATAACTGGATATAACATTTATAGTTAAAGTTGATCCAGGGAATATCCGATTGCCTCTCGTGGGATCAGGAAGGAATTTTTTCCCCAGCAGGTGCAAATTGGATCATGCTTTGCTGGGTTTTTTTTCCTTTCTCTGGATCAACTGTGGGTATAGGATAATAATTTTTTTTTTTTTTTTTAATGGTTGAACTGGATGGACTTTTGCCTTTTTTTTTTTTTTTTTTTTTTTTTTTTTTTTTTTAGCCAGACGAACTATGTAAGATT